CTGGCCATATTCTGGGCTCGTCTGCAGCTGTTGGCATGACAGGTTAATCATTGCAGAGTGTCCAGGTCTGTAGCAGCTATCCTAACTGCGGTTTAAAAGTAACACTACCTTGATGATAGATTTGGTTTTCTTTTTGATGCGTGGCAGCGTCTTTTCCACACTGGGTATATGTGGTAGTCTCTTCAGCTCTCCGAGCACCGCTGCTGCTGCCAACTTCTTGGCAATCTTTTTACTTTTTCCCTCGCCTTCTCCCGTGAACTCCCCGACTGTAACACGCACTACAAAACTCTTCATGTGGGGAGGACCTTCTTCCTTTAGAACCTGGAAAACAACAGCAACAACTCCTGGTTAATTAAACAGAATAAATAGAACAAATGCTCCTCTGCACGGGGAGCATTTATTCTATTTAATTAACTTGGATGAAACACAACATGCATCTTGTGTACATTCTACTGATAATCTCCTAAAAAGATCTTGGATGATATATAGAAATCCATTCAAACCTCAAAGTTGACAGGTAAGTTGCGTTTAAGTGCAATTTCAAACACTTGACTGATTTCTGATTTATTCAGGTTCTCCTCCTCGGGCTCTCCGTTCATCTGCCAAAAGAAGAAAACATATTTAAAAAAAGAAAAGCAATAAGTCTTTCTAAACTTGCAGGAGAGAAAAAAAGGAAAAGCTGTCTAGCACTATGTCTGTTTGCTGAGTGTGTGCTTCTTCTCTCACCACTGGCAACTGTTGCAGTATTGGCTCCTTCTGCAGTACTTTTAATGCCTTGGCAGCCGCATCATGTTTGGCCAACTGCCGCGTGCGTCCCTTCCCAATAAACTGCTGGCCTCCGATGGAAAGCTCCATGTGGTATAACATTGGTCCCACTGGAGGAAAAGGGTAGTAGTACCTGGACACACACAAAAGTTAAATACAATGCTTTTTGTCTCTCTCTCAAAAAATACTTTGTTGGACAAAAAATTGAAAAATGTTTCCAAGTAAGGTAAACTCACTGTTGCATAGAGCGCTGGTAAGGCCCTGGAGCCCGGACGTTGTAGTTGAAGTTTGGCGGTCTCATCCCCGGGTACGGGTCGATGGGTTTATACATGGGCTTTTTACCAAGCTTCATACATAGTGCATTCAACTCCATAGTATGTGTTATGCCATCTGCTGCAAGGCAAACACAAACAAACCCAAGATAAAAATACATATGCATGCATTCTCTTTTCTGCAAAGTGTGAGCTGGAGTTATAATGAGACTGCAACAGAGCCAGTGGGAAGAGCCCACCTGGGATCTTGCCTGTGTTGCGGGGCGTCCTCACGGTGGGCTTGGGAAGTGTTGTCTCGGCGAGGGCAGATGCAGCAGCGGAATGCTGGGCTTTCTTTATACTGGTCCCCTCTGCCTCCCAGTGCTGATCTCCCAGTGTGAGCCTCACTGAGAAAATCTGGAATATATTCTCTATCATTAGAATCAACTTGTGACCAAACAGGGTAAGAGCAGGGGTTGACCAACTGTCGGCAATACTCAGATCCAATATTCAGCATGTCGCCAAATGTGGGTACTTTTTTAAACAATTTTTGAAAAAAATTACAATTAAAAATGTGTTATTGTGGTTCTAATGCAGCTGCTTGTCTCTGTCTGTAGTCACCCCCAATGTTCCACCTAAAGCACCATCTGATTGGTTATGCATCTGAAGTAATATCCCCTCAACACTGATTGGTAAATGTCGAGAGGCTCTCTTTCAGGAAACACATGTAAAATATAAATAAATAAGGCATTTCCGTCAAATTTTGTGTTGAAGTTTTTGTTCTTCTAAATTTCGACGCCAAGATTTTAATTTTTACTTAAAATATTCACTAGTTCCAAATCTCTGTTATCCGTCTGCTTGGTTACTAATAATTGGTAGCGATTTTGGCCCGGGGGACAAAAAATTACGTTTGTTTGACCCCTTGACAACAGTATGAATGAAACTCCAAACGTCCTGTTACACTGACCTTTGAGTGAGCTGGTCCTTGCTCACAAAGCAGCTTATACTCAGGTTGGATCTTGTTGAAACGGGCTAACTCATTCACCAAACACATGGGGGTCTTCTCTTTAGGGTTTGCCATGTTAGATACTGGAATAAAACAGAAAGATCCCAAATACTCACTACAACAAATCAATAAGCATAACCGTAAACACTAACACAAAAGGCTGTTGCTCATAGCCTCACAGCAGATACACACATCACCTCACAAAAACAACAGGAACATTTAAAAACAAGACATCACAACATGCGGGCGGGACTTAGAAAAACAAAGTATGATTACAGCAAATGCATGACTGGCATTGTACATCCAGGACCAATAAACTGAATGCTAACAATGAAAAGCAAGCTGTCTGATCAAACAAACTGATCACACCTACCTGAGGTGGTACTGTAGGGAGTGGCTGAGCCCGCGGGGAGAGCGGAGCTCCTGATGGGTTGGCTGGCGCTCTCCGACGGTAGAGTGCCTGAGGCACAAGGGATGCTGTAGCCAGGCTGTGGCTGCCCCAACTGTAGTGGGGCAGGAGCAGCAGGCATGGGGCTAGCTGGACACTGAAACTGGAGCTGAGACATCCTCGTTGCTCTACCTTAGTCAATATTAGTCTGAGGCCAAGATAAGAAGGTTATAGTGTGGGAGGGACTGTTGATTGAGGAGGTCTGAATGTAAGCTCTGCCTGGAAAAAAAGAGGATGTGACAAGAAAATACAAGATATGTCAAAATCTGCATATTGAGAAAATTACAGCATTTTCCACTCATCCATTTTTCAACAAAATGTCAGTCACAGGAGCCGCCGTCCAACAAACAGAACAAAGAGGGCTGTCACTGCACTGGATGCCTATCAAAGGCCTGTCTGACAAAGACATTCACATCTATGAACAATTTCATTTCCAGCTGACCTAACTTGCAATTGTTAGGACCATGGGTGAAAACCCAGATGTACATGGACAGGACATGTAAACTCTATGCAGAAAAGCCATCACCGGCAGCGTTTTGTTGACAACCGGCACCTTCCTGCTGGGAATCAGCAACAGTAACAAGTGAGCCACTGGTTTGCATTTTCAAAATAAACATACAACCTTATGAGTTACATTAGCCTCTGGAACTCACTATCACCCTCTCTCAGAAACATTGACTCACTCTCTCATTTCAAATCTCAACTCAAAACACACCTGTTCAAAACTGCTTATTCCCTGCTGTGACAATTGCATTGCCTGATGTATTTTTACTGCTGTATACTGTATTATTGTGTATTTTATTGTTGCTTCTTTTATCTTTTGTAAGGTGTCCTTGAGTGACCAGAAAGGCGCCTTTTAAATAAAATTTATTATTATTATTACATTAAAATAGGAGCACATAAATTTCCTACAGTTTCTGCATTTTACAAGTGCAGTGAATTTTGCTTACAGCTCAACAATCAGCATGGGTTGTGAGCGGTCCAGAAAGAAACCTCAGCATTATACAAAGCAATGTTTAAAAAGGAGATAGATGTGTACTATAGGTATACAGTTTGATGTTTCTCTTCATCTCTGGCTTCTGCACTGACTCGCAGCTCTCAATTCTAGAATCCGTCTGCACACGAGTGTCAGTCCCTCGTGTACATATTAGTTTCATTGTGACTTTCACACACTAATGAATTCATGACAAGTCACATTCATTTGACAGCACTGCAGGGCAGACTGGTAAATCTGGTGGTTGACTGCCCTTAAAAAATGTTTGCTCACTTGAACATTAACAACATTTTACTTGCCAAAAAAAAAGCACAGTGATTTCTATGTCTGATCCCAACACAGGTCATCCAGCTTGTCTACACTACAGAGACAATTATATTTATCAGTCACAGCCAACAAGGACAATAAGACAATGCAACGACATGGGTGCCACGAACAATCCTACAATATTGAACAGACTGCAGCTAAAATGTCAGTGAACAGTGAATTATATCATCAGCTGCCTCGGCTGTCAATTAGAAAAGCTGCTCATCCTGAAACTTCATTAGCTTTTTTTGTTCTCTGCCCGGCTGGGAGGTGTCTGGATGTTTGTGGGGCCCTTGGAGGCGTTGCCAACTGTGATTTAGCACGAATAAAACGCACCTGCAGCGAGCACAAGTCCCTCATGCTACTAAATCTGAAGCTGCACAAATTGACCAACCTGTTTATGAAACAATAACTTAGACTAGCTGGTGTTACTAGACTGCTAGCCAGACAGCTAGCTGCTACAAATACAACCACCTCAGCTGCTTACAAATGCTCACACCTGTGTCTGTAAAATCACTGGACTTGCACATTTCCTAATGATGTAAGCATCTGTGTGCAGCAGACATTATTGTTAGGAGGACATTAACTAGCTTTTAATGAAATCAGGCCGCCGGCTGCAGGCTTTCTCTGAGGACCACGTTAGCTAGTTAGCTAGCTAGCTTGTTCGCTACACTGGCAGGGATGGACATAATAGGACAACCTTCACAGAAACAAAACTGAATACTCTAAAAAGAATGCATCCTCATAAGGACTAACCCACAACTCGTTGGCTGCAATGCCTGACATTGGTTTATGAAATAAAGTCAACAATGAACGTGACATGTTAATTCCCAGTGAGTAGGGGAGCAGCCGGCGAAACGGCTAGCTAGCTAGCTGGCTAACCCGGACTAGCACAAAACAAACCTCACCTCGTCGCTCCTTTTGTTCGGTTTTTGGTTACTCCATAAAACACATTCAAGTGGTGTCGTTTGCTTTTGTTAATGGCCAGTTTCAGGAGTCGGTGTAGGTTATTTTTATATCAAAATGCGGGCGGTGAGGAGGTGGACATTGGGAAGACAGGGCAAACACTAAAGAGAATGGCACTAACTTGATTCTGCTAGGGGAAGTGACGTAGCCAGAGGGGGCGGGACTTCCAACCAGAAAACTCCAAAATATTTCAGGGCTGAGTGAACAGTGAGCCACAAAACACCGCTTACTGAGACGAAACGCTTCAAAAACCAACACACAGCGTAAACAGGGTATTCAGAATTTTATTTTGGTCACATCAGAAAGCCAAAAATCACAGGTTTTGCATCACTATTAATTCAAACGGTGTAAAAAAAAAAACAAAACAATTGAAAATGCACACACAAGTAACTAGCAAGCTCATTATGTTTGCTAATAAATATAAAATTGATCATGATTCACTATAAAATATTGCTTCTATGGTCTGTAATCCTTTCTAAAGTGTGTAACTTGAGGACAGGAGCAGTGGCTGAGCTGAGTGGGTGACCGTCTACAGGTTGTGAGCCTGGCAGATGTTCAGGGAGTCTCGGAGCATCAGGTCTCTGAGTCTCCACAGGGCGTCTGCCATGGTGCTGTGGGCTCCTTTGCTCTTCAGCCAGTGAGCTGGCAGACGACTCTCCTGTTCTTTGGTCAGGTGAGCATCGCGCCTCTGAGCTGTTGTGGAAGCACAGGGTTTAAAATCACGACATGGTTCTCACACAAAGACAAGAAAAGGCACTGAAGCCATTACTGCTTGATGAGAAAATAACGCACAGATTTTAGAAACAAATTTATATCATGCGGTCCTCTTGTTTTTTTTAGGTTAACAGTTTTTCCAAACAATGAGGCTTAAATAGCATCTTAATACCCTGACAAATTCAAAAGTAATGCTTTACTTTTATGAAGAAAAACAGTAATCTTAACATTTATACTCACATCTAATCAGACCACACTGGGAAATTTGTAATGTAAATGTCAATATAACAAGCTATTCTATTAACAAACGCAAAGACAGATATACAATCCCCCTCCTTTGAGACGCAGTAAGTAGAACAAACAATAACTTAGAAGCCCTTTAATTAATCTGACTCACCAGAAGTGGACAGCTACACTTTTTACACACTTTTATCTTCTCCCTTTTGCTATCTTCATGTTTTTAAAATCCTTCTAACAATGGAAAACAACAATAATCTCTAGCTAGCAACCTATTACACTGATCATTTCAAGTTTTGTGCCAGGACCATTTTAATAACAACACTCACCTCTCTGCATCCAAAGCAAATCCACTCACAACTATACTGCAGGAGCACCAATGCTACATCTTTAGCTTAGCACCACCCAAGACGATAGTGATTAGTTCAAAGAAATACAAACAGGCCCGGGTGTTCTTTCCATTTTTAGCAGTATGATGAGGAGGTGCAGCAAGACCTGTCAGCACTAGAGAATAGTCTGGCCATGCAACTACCTCTTTATTACTTGAGAAATTGGAAGCCAATATAACTTTAATGTAGATTTAAAAATAAATAAAAAAATAAAAAAATTATGATACAAAATATTCAAATCTCATGAAATCATGTTGGAAAATCTGTGGTGTAAATACCAGCATAATGGGATTTCTACAAACATTCACTGAGACAGATGCACGACTTCCCTGTAACCGGCAGCAAGTTAAAAACAAATAATCACTTAACACCACCTTTGAGCATTTGGTCCCACTTGCTGACAGTGCTGGACTCTGAATTTAAGCCCTCAATGTACTTCAGGTAGGCCTCTGAGTGTAGCACCCTCTGGGTCTTTGGTGGTGGAGCCACAAACATGGGAGTGGTGGGCTGCAGGTGTGAGGGCTGGCCCAGCTGGCCCTGCCCTGGGTACGGTGGAGGAGCATGCTGTCCTGGGCTGAACATCCCAGGCTAGAATCAAACAACGACAATGTTTTTGTTAGCGTGTACGAAGCATCTTTAACTACAGAAAAACATGGATTGTGTCCGTAGTTTTGCAATAATAGCCTTTTGTGTCACTTTGTCTTGCTTTAAGTGCAACGTGTGAAAACACTGCGGCTCCCAAACTTAAGAGCAGCTAAACAAAATGCAAGCGGCTTACATACACGACAAAATGCACCAATATTAATCACCAAATTTTCATGTATAGTTTAAATATAAGTGAACTAACCAGAACCCCCATGGCTAAGCATTTTCTGGATTAGGGCTCACCTGTTGCATATAGTTTCCTTGCGCGGGACTTCCTGCCATGCCGTTCATACCAGCGCCCATCATACCTGTTAAATGACAACATTGAGCTCCTGTGCATCCATCAGCTGTTGTAAACTCAGCTAATGCCGTTTTGCTTTATGTTAACATTTACAATGACTCATGAAAATGTTAGTTTTTGAATATCAGTTGACTGTTAGTCGTGTGGTATCAGTTTTCACATGCATTACATGTGTGAATGTTTGTATAGTTCTAGGTGTGGGATGTGAGTACACTTTGAAAGAGATTGTTGGAAACCAGAGAGCTTTGACTGCTCAAGTGAGTAGATGTGGCTGTGCAGCCTGTGGACCAGATAAACCCCTCCAGCAGGAGAGACACGACTGGATGTGACTGAGCAGGTGTAGCTAGGACAGTGGCCCTTACCCTGATGAGGCATGCCAGGGTACCCGGGCATACCTTGCTGGAGATGGTGAGGAGGCAGGTGAGGACCCCCTGCAGGGTGAGGTGGCATTGTGGCCACACTCAGCAAACCCTCATGGGGGCCCTGCATGGGCATGTAAGGTGGGCCGTAAGCTCCCATCATGCCTTCGGGAAGAGGGCAAGGAGAGGACAACACATCCATGCATGAGTGACATGCAGTCTATAATAACATGCACTACTAATACACACAGTGGCCCCTTTCACACATGTACCTTAAGCCATAAATGCTCTGCGTCCGAGTCGATCTTACATCATAACTACTCTGATGTCTAGAAACGACAACTCTGTAAAGCTTGTAATATCCTACAGTGCTTTTATTTATTGTTTTATTATATTTAATAGTTATTTTTAGACTCTCAGAATGGCTTTCTTTAGTTGCATTTCCCCCGTATTATTTGCTATACGGCTGTACTGACAAAAACAAGAGATAATAAGATAAATATGGAATGGACAGAACATCAGACCCCGAGCTTTGCTGTATGAGACACCAGCACCTCTACCAAATAACCCCACCTGGTAACGTTTAAGGTTCAGTGTGTGAAAAGGGCAGACAATACAAATGGGTTTGAGAATGTTAGCAAAACAAGCATGTAAGTTAAATGAAAACTCAAAAAACAAAACAAAAGGCATTCATGGTTAAAAATCAATCATGCAGTCAATGTCATGCAACATCGGCTATGAAGCTAGTGATAACAAAACTATAAACATAAAACAATATGAAACAGCAGCAAAAGAGGAAAATTCTTGCTTTAAGAATGTAGTTTGGAGATAAATACGTTTTAAATGGTTAGAAAATTAGAGGATTACGGTTTTTAACAGTCCAGCCTCATTTCCCTGCTGCCTTGTTGTCAAACACTCGTGCTGTCTCTGAGAGGGGTTACCTGACACAGGTGTCATGGTCTGGTTTATCATTCCCATAGTGCTAGGCGAAGGCACCACCCCCATCAGTGCCCCTACAGGGGTACCTGCTCTAGGGGATGCTTGCTTCTGAGGTGGCCTCTCGCGCTCTTGTTGTTCCACTATTTTGGCTGCACGTTCTGAAACACACAAAAAATGTATTAATTATCCTCAGTTCACACGAAAAGAACTTTTCATCTTGTGCATCCTGTGATCTCACCTTCATACTCTGCTTTCTTGTTCGCTTCAAGGTTCCTCCACTCGGTGCCGACCAGTCGACTCAGTTCCCCGAAGGAAAAGTCCGGGTGTCGGGCTTTGATAACTGCTCGCATTTCGCTGCTGAACAGAATGTAGCCGCTCATGTTGATCTTCCTCTTGGCTCCTTCCTTCTTTGACAAGCCCTTCACCTTTGGAGTGGCCTTCATGAAAAAGCAAAGACACGAAAACAAGTTAACATTAGTACCAGCTGTGTTTGAAGCCTTTGGACATAAAGTGGGTTTGTTAACAACACTTGGGGGGTGTGTGGCTACCTGTGAAGGTGTGTATGGCATGACGTCCATGTCGCTTGCAAGAGGGGTCTGCATCTGAGGCAAAGAAGGCGTCGCTGGGGCCTCCTCTTCGTCATCCATGTCGTCCATATCATCATCTCCATCCTCCAAATCTGCCAGTTTAACCTCAAGCTCGTCTATCTTCTTGTTCAGAAAAGGCGACGCTTCTTTTTGTGGCACCATCAATTTCCTAGATACCGGTACAGGAAAAATAGAAACTCAGACTGAGAGAGACGTGGTTCAGTTTAGAATCAGAGTTTGTGCTTCATTTAACTTGCTAACCTGAAGTAGTAGATCTCATCCTCCACCACTTTGGAAGAATATGAGAAACGTTTCAGACCCTTGAACTTTTTCATTTGCTTCTCAGCCTCAATGTAGCGGCTCTCGCACAGCAGGATGTCGTCTTCTGAAAACTCTGTAGGTCTGCATGACAAGTAGTCCTTGAAGGACGACACTGTACATTTGCCTGGAGAGCAGACGGGCAGAATAAAACTTGTTATTAAAATGGCCAAGCAGCAGCTTCTTTTCAAATTAGCGGTATAAGGGCACAGGGGCTCGAACGTAAAAAAACTGTAGCTGGAATGTAAATTTTAAAAATGGCAGATGAAAGACACAGTCGGGCATTTGGGGAAATGGACTGATTCATTTATGGATTGGTTTATGAGGGTTTATGTCAGGCCATTTCTTGACTCCAAGCAGTTACTAGGCAACCAGCAGAGACTCCAGGAAATTATGGGTCCCAACCACAGGAAAGTCAGATACATAATTTTTACGCTATGTTCGATGTGATGTGAGGGTAAGCATTATCTAAGCCTGATATCAATCAAAAACTGCATTTCTTTTGGAGTGTATTAGCTCACTGTGATGCTTTGGGAAGCATTACCTATGACACAGGTCATGGTCAAGGTCTCCTCCAGATGACTCAGAAACACTTCTCTCTTGTAGAACATCTTCGTGGGCTCGTGTTCCGTTTCCTCGGGATGAATGAAGATGGGTCCAAAAAAGAAAGCAGTTCCATTCTGCAGCCACAGCTTTTCTATCCTGCAGCCGAGACAAGAACCATGTTACCGATAGTTAATAACTCTGCAGGGTCTATACTCCACCGGGGTCACGTCTAACTCCATCTCAGCAAGTGACCTTTTTGTGCCAGAGAGCCAAACACTTAATATTTCACCAACCTGGCAACCCGGGGCTTTGACAGACCATGTGACTGGATGTAAACACAGTCTCCCACTTTGAACCACACGTTGTTGTAGCGTAACTGTTCGTAGTGGCTACAGCCGGGCTCAGCGCCGCTCATCTCCATGGGGACGTCCTCTCTCTCCTACAGGCACACACAGAGGACTCGTATTTTACAGCGTGACAAACTTTAATTCAGTGAATTACCTGTTGGTCTGCCACTCGGGTCCTTGTCAAGAGAGATAATTAATCCCCTTTAGTCAAGGCCAACTGACAGCGTTGGTGCTTGTGGACAATCCATACGTCTAGATTTTATATTTATTCCTGGACTCCAGGCTTATCCTTACCACTGAACGTGACTAGAAGGTTAGAGTCCTGATTTTTACAGGCCTTATGGGACAAGGCAGAAGGTAGCTCAATATTGGAATCCAATATCAACCCAGTCGTCTGTACATATAAGTCGACTTTGTTCTGTCTTTTTATTTGCTGCTACGATGAACTGAAATTGTCACAGAGAAACATGAGCAGCTAAAAAAAACTACTCGAAGAGATTCCTCTCAGAACAACACGAACTAAACTAGGTTCTGTCACTTCATAACAGAAAAAAAGAATACAAAACTAAATCAACAAACTCACTACAACTCAGGACTTTATAATGGAGCGTGTACAGCGTCGCCTCACCTTCTCCACGTAACTGCTGCTGTCTGTATATGATATTGTAGGTTTTTCCTGGTCCGGCTTGGCAAACATGGAAGCTACACGGACAACAGGCAGAGGCACCTCCCGATAGCCTAACTTCACAGAACTCTCAGGCATGGCCCATATCTTGATCTTCTTGAAGGACTTGTTCCTGGCGGCGTAGCGGGATTCACACACGTAGACGTCCTCAGCTCTGTAGCCCTCAGGCTGCATTTTGAAATAATCCTACAGGAAACAGTAGATTAGGTCGAGATCTTTGCATTGAATTGGATCGTTTTTATATTTACGGTTAGTAGAGGTTCTTACCTTCACAAAAATGACCACACATTTGCCCAGAACTTTACTGATGGACACTTTGTTGTAGTAATCGCTCTTGAAGACCTCTTTTTCCAGAAACTTGCGTGTGGCCAAGTGAAAGGTTTCACTGGGTCTGTAGAACCAGCAGCCGTAGAGCCACTTCTCACCTTTAAAACACAAAGACAAGCTCATTTTAGCACAACAGATATTTAAATATTAACTAAATGAAAACGGAATCACGGTATTTACTGGATCATTTGAGAGAAAAGAAATCTCAAGAATATCTATTTTGTGCACAAGATCCTCTCTTCAAACTATTTTCCTTGTTGTTGTGGTGGATGATTAATGATTTCAATGTTGTTTATTACATCACATTGAATGATATCTGAATTATTGATTTGTGAGAGTACAAAAAAAAGCCAATAATGACTGAGTTACCTCCTTCATCCTGCCACAGACGTTCAATACAGACGATGTGAGGCTTCAGGTTTGGTTCTGATGGCTCCACATAGACGAAGTCTCCCACATGGTAGGTGCTGTTTTCAAAGCTGCAGTCCTGGCTGTACACTCGCTCCGGCTCTGGCCGCCATGCCTCACCCGGTAGGTCCTTGGCTTTTTCACCCTCTTTAGGTGAGAAATGCATATTGATTTCACATGAATACCACATCGATATAAATACTTATCATTCTTCACATCTTTGTACTATGAGAAACACACACCTTTGTTCTCCTCCTCTTCCTCTTCCTCCTTCTTCTGCTTGTCCTCTTCGATCTCTTTGGGGATTTTCTCCCTCTTTTCCTGGTCGACGTCGCTGTGCAGGTGTTTTAACGTGTAGTTGAGTGCAGAGGATTGCAGAATCTCGCCGTTCTTGCATAGCTCATCCCTGATCTTGATGAGAAACTGTTGCAGCTCCACTGCGTCCTCAAATATCTCAGAGTCCGTCCTGCAAACCCATAAAAGACATCATGTAAAACACTAGCACATATTTTAGCTGTTTGTTTCACCTGCTGTTGTAATGTAAGCCAAAGCAGGGTGCATTGCATAGATCATATATTGTTTTAGAACAATAAAAGCATCCCAAAGGCTGACCTGCTACAACATGTTAATAAAATGTGAAAATGTAAAGGTATCATCATTTTACTTTAAAATACCTCCAATAACAATGAAAAGATGTTTCCATGTAAGCATTTACAAAAACATGACAGTCTTGCAGGCAGTGAGCTGTCTGTATCATATCTGTGCGTGGGTGCAGATGCTTGGAAACAGTGGTGTAACATGAACAGCTCTAATAAGATGGCCATCGTATCAGCACCAAGCATCAGTTTCAGTTGAAGCTCTACTGGCGTAAATAAGACAGATGTGGTCATGCAATACAGCTAATATCTGTATCCTGGATCTAATGTAAAAAGGTCAGAGGCTTATTTGCGAACACCCATTTCTATTTGCCGTTTCTGTGGTTTTAGATTTCTGTGAGGCTTTCCGCTGCTCAGAGCAGGTCAACTGAAATTTTACAAGGAAGCTACGCAGTCAGCTTTTGTTAGAATGGACGGCCATACCTGTGTAATCTCCTTGCCTTCTCCAGCACTTCAAACATGTGTTCTTGGAAGACGTCCAGCCTCCTGTAGCGGCCGTGGTCCACGTTTATCCTGATGACATCAAAGTTAAGCGGTGGTCTTTCAGGGGCAGCTGGATCCACGGCAGGAATCTCAGCCAATGAGTCGCTGTAGCATCGACCCTCTTCGTCCTGGTGGCCCATCACGGACACAAACAGGTTCCTGATCAGCTCTCGGACCAGAGATCCCACAGCAGGGGGTCCGCAGTCCTCCCCGCCCTCCTGCTGCTTGCGTGTCTCCAGCAACACTCGGTGCAACACCAAAGCATCCCGATAGATCAGAGACTCGGGCTCATTGTACATGCAGGCATTGTTGAACATGAGAGCAAAGTCCTCCACCAGGGCTTCGACGTCTTGGTAACGACTTGCCGCCATGTGACTCCGCAGACGCTCCATATCGACGGGTCTCTTGATTGTAGCGTAGTAGTCGGGCAACTCGGCGCGGGAGGGAAGACGGAGGAAGATTGTGCTTAGACGTCGACCTCGGCGGTCGGTGAAGTTTCGCACAGCATCGTAGAGCTCATTCAACCTCTGCTGAAGAGGGGTGAGGTATTTGGACTTCTTTGGAGAAACACCAGTCTTTCCTAAATATGAAAAAATACATTTAGGATTAAAAAGACAAAGAGAAATTTGGGAAATCTGGGAATCAAACCGGGGACTCTGTGCTGACAGTACTTGGCTGGTGGGTAGTCCAGCTAGCCATTTCTTTCAATGGTCTTTCTACCAAAAGTGAGTTAAAAGCACCTTCTTGGAAGTACAGTCACCGCTATCACATAGTAATGCATTGGCAAGTGTGGATCAACTTCAATAATTTGTCTGGAAGTGAATTTTTCTTTGAAGACACTGCCCAGGAGGTTAGAAAAATCTATAACACTGTGGTACAATCAAGATTAAGCACATTTAGTCTTTGTTAGGTGAATCAACACATGCAACATACAGTCGTGACTCGATAATCAGACACTAAATGTAAAACCTTCTTTTATGTCGGATAGCAAGGCTGTCGGATTCATTGTCGGATCAAGACGGAGATCGAGATACAAGGAGGGCTTGATGCTGGAAGGCTCATTAGTTGTTAATATTCATTGTTTATAGTTGTTATAATAACTAGTAGGGCTGGTCCCAATAGCACTTTCTGGTCTCTGGATATTCAGGCCAAATTAATGATGAATATCTGGATATTCAGCGTGGTCGGGGGACACTTCCACCCCAGGAGAGCGCTCTGACGGGGTGGAAGTGGCCGGAACGCACAGGCAGTACTTGGCTGCTGATGCTAGTTTAGTTTGCAGTCACACTTCTGTTTCCACCATCGGGAGTGGCAGGAATCCAAGGCTGTCGGTATGTTAAGGCTGTTTTTAATATGTTCCGTTCGTTTTTCCTAAAAACCTGTCGGATAGCAATGTTTTCGGATTGATAAGGGTCGGATTATCGAGTCATGACTGTACTGATAAGATCACACTTACTCAATTTCAGTTTGGGAGATCCCACATCTTCCTCTTCAGAAGGTCCTAACTCCTTGCGCTTATCCTTCAGTATCTTCTCCAAAATGTCAGCATCATTATATACCTACAGAAACCAAAAGCTACTTTTAGCCCATGATCAGACTGTTTCTGGTTTGATAACAGCAAACAAAATCAAAGCTGTATATTGTATTCTAGAAACAGTCCTAATGCAAACCTGAGATCCCTCCTCGTTGTAATGCCGGGCGTTACGGAACATTAACCTCATGTCGTCCATCAGAGCTTCCTCCGTGGTATAGCGCTCACTGCGGATGTTGTGTTCAATGGTTTTCAGGTCCATCGGCTCCAGGATGACGTTATAGTAGTCGGGGTAGTCTTTCTTGGAAGGTTTAACCATAAAAAGATCACAGAGGCGTCGACTGGTGCCCACTTCCCTGGCGTCAGTCACAGCAGCGTACAGTGCTTTCATTCGGTTCTTTTTGACATTTTTCTTGTGGCTTAAAAAACAGAAGTAGAAGAACACTATTAGGAGAGACTCAATAAAAACAACTCAAAGCATCTTTAAAAACAAGAGTGTTGAGTTGTTAGTAAGCATATACATTATAAAGCAATTGCAATAAAGAAATAGAATAAATATAAAAAGATATATCTTGGTACCTTTTCCTCTTGATGCTCCCTGCATCAGACGACAGAATGCTGTCTCCATCTTCATCATCTCTCCTTAGAAGTTCCCTCCTTTTTGCCTGTACACAACAGATTCAATACCTCATCTACCCATTTCTAGAAAATATCTACCGTTTGTTTACCATAATGTGTTTTTCTTGGCCTAACTGCGGAGGGAAAACATCCTCCAGCACAACTTGCCAGGGAAATAATTCACAAGTAATTACCTGCAAGATTTGCTGGAGCCTGAAGGCCCGTTTGTAAATGCTTGAGTTAGGCATGTTGTAGCGCTTTGCATTCTCAAACATCAGAGTGAGGTCAGCCTCCATCTGTTCCACACTTTCATATTCACCATTCTTCATTTTCGCCCTAAAAAAACAAAAGGTTTTTAACATTTGAGCTTCTTCTTTATCTGGAATTTTGAGGAAGAAGGTGACTCTTGATGTGGATAACTGGTCCTGACCTGATTTGCTGCAGAGCAATGGGCTGTTTAATCTGCTGATAGTAGTCAGGATATTCCCTGCGAGAGGGCAGATGCTGAAAGGGTTCAGAGAAGACCTGGCCCTGGTTATTCCTGGCGCCTCTCACAGCTTCATATAACTGGAAGATCGGGTTGCTCATCTCCATGCTTGAACTCTGGCTCTCCGCCTCGGATTCTCCCTCATCGTAGCACACAGAGCCTGAGAACATATACGTTGTGAGCTATTGCTTTTTCCAACACAAAGTCAGTTTCTCTGCTGTCTAAACAGCTGAAGGTTACCTGAGAGCACGGGGTCGTCCTCGCTCTCTGAGCCATACTGGAGAGCTACGCTGACGCCAGAGAGCCTATCCCCTTGGCCAGACCTGCGATTTCTGAATAGACACAAGAAATACACCATCTATCTGCTGATTTGTTTTGACAAAAAGAATAACTACAAGGTGTGCAACTGTTAACGATACCTGATGCGAAGGCTGGATTTAGTGGGTTCCCCGTGTTCAAGTTCAGTCTTACGCTGGATGAAGACTTTCTTTATGGTGTTAGCATCCTATAAAACAAGAGAACAACTGTCAGCATTTGAGATGTTACACATTATAGGAAGAAAATCAAGAAAGAGAGCTTACCTTAAAAACCTGAGATCCTGGTTCGTTGTATGTTTTGGCATTTTTGGCCATCAGGTCAATGTCCTTGGCCATCGCACTGACAGTTTTATAGAATCCAATCTATTTTAAAGAACAAAACAAAATGAGGCTGGTAAGAAAACCCAACAGAATTCTTAGAATGATGCATAACATAGCAATCAGTGAGGAAGTGAATTGACTACCTGTATTCTTTGAGCGATCGTTCTCAGATCTATTGGCTCCTTTATAATGGCATAGTAGTCTGGGTAATGCTGGGGAAGACAGACAAATGTAAAATGATGAAATACATTGCTGCTGAATGGTTTGACCAAACCTCAAGAGGAGGAGGAAAACTGTCTTTACAACACAGAACAGTTATAGATTAGAAAATCTGAATGAATGGGTTCAGAAAAATGAAGCTTTCTTGTGTCATATATTGTTATGTTTTGTTATTTTGGGATCTGCAGATATCAAGAAGTGTGTGTACAAATCTTAGCTGTATTAGTTCAAGCCTAAAAAGTACTTACCACTTTGGAAGGCAGCTTCTGGAACAGTTCACTGACCAGACGCCCTGAGGGATCAGTGTGAGACACTATAGCCTCCAAGAGTTGCTCCAGCACTTCCTTCAAACTGCCAGCTGAGGTCTGACAGACAAATATGCATGGATGAGTTCTAGCCCAGTACTGTGATCCTTCTTATTAATATTAAAGACGGATTACTTCAAAACCGCATTTATCCTTAATATAAAACACCTCTAAGTTTTAAAAAATCATGCAAAATATATGTTTCATTCAGTAAAAAGATCTGAACTTATGTTTTCAGTCTTTGTGATTTGGTTTAACGGATTACAGGCCGATTATTGAGTCCGATATTCGTCTACTATTCAGTCCTGTTCATTCTTGAACAGATTGTTGATATAAAAAAAATAATAATTCAGTTTAAAATGAGCTACTTTGTCTTTGCTGCAGTCACCACTTTGAGGTCTCCATCAACAACAACCAATAAATGTTGAAATATTTGATTGTAATTTAACATGTGCAAAAAAAGCAAAATCATTTTTTATGATCCAAATCTTGACACCAAGATTTAAATGTTTTCCACACATGTCTGTTGGTTCTAAATATCAGTTAACAGCATCCTTGAATGCTAATAATCAGTATCTGTCCCCAGAAAACGTTGTCATTTGGAGTTGAGGTAATATGTGACAATCATACAAGAAAGGTACTCGACAACGGAGACAAGGACTTACCTCATCTTCAGCTGACATTCCTGGATTATCCATCATATCGTCACCGTCCTCATCATCCTCATCTCCATCTCCAGGCTGTACAAACTCATTCCGTGTTTGCAAATATACCTCCCACAGCTTGCACGCAGCTTGATACTCCTCAGTGTCACTCTAAATCATTGAACATGAAGAGAAAAGACAATCAGGACACTGTTGATAGGACGCGCAGAACACAATGAAATGTGGAGATATACCGAAGCATAGCCTCATGCTATAAATCTCCTTTTGCACTATATATTTTATACATAATAATTTTTTAGGAAAAATTCAGAAAAACAATACCAGCATCTTTTGACATACTTCCAGTATTGACAATTAGAAACATGGTTTTCAACAACAAATAGAATACTGTGGTTATAATAATATTTAAATGATCTTAATCACTTCAAACCACTGGCAGTAATGAAAAGTTTTGCAAGTATTCTTTGGTCTTTACCTTGTAGAACGACCTGGCGTTGTTGAACATGAGCTGAAAATCTGCTGTAAGCTGCTCCACTTCACTGTAATCCTCAGACTTCAGTTTATATTGAATTTTTGTCATATCAATCGGCTGGGACACCACTTCGTAATAATCAGGCTGATTCCTAAGAAAAAGAACAAGACATAAATATTTCCTCCAAAACTATTCAATACATTCAGCATTGTGTGTATTTGTCTTGATAAGCTGCCCAGCGACACACACCCAACTGTCAGATTGTCAAACCTTGATAGGAAATACATGTATATGATGGGCAGCTTCATGTTAAACTACAAGGAGTGCTGCAGTCAAACTCTAGTAATAAAATATTGAGCATAAACCCCAGACTTCATGGTAGAGTACCTCCTCTTTGGTACCCTCTGGAAAACCTCAGAAAGCTGCCTTCCTTGATCATCCTTGTGGTCCCTCACAGCATTGAACAGCTCATGGCATACAGCAATCTGGAAGGTAATTAAAGAACACAAATTTAATTGTTAAAACTCTGCATTTATTCCTTGCAATACAGTAAGAGGAGACCCCACATCCCTCAAGATCGTTAAGATAAGATAAGCCATTACTATAGTGGGGGATTATCATCACACATACAAGCCACAGTGCTACTAAATCAAATAATACAAGAATTTACAGTATCTACTGGAGGAACATTGGAGATTCTTCTTCTCTTCCTGCCACTTCCAGGAGTCGAGGAGGAGGCATCATCGAGGTCTCCCCCTCCGCTGATGCTGCTGGAGGGAGAAGTGGCTCGTCTCCTCTTGGAGCTCGCAGACATCGCTGGCTGGTTAAACAACAGGCTAGCCCGCTAGCTGGAAAAAGAGCGAAAATGATATTAAAGTTACTGCGGCTGTTTGTCCGATAAACTTAACATACAGGAGACGGCAGTCGTCCACACCCCCATTCAAAACAAGTCTCAAACTTAATCAAATGCTACATCGGTTAGCGTTAGCACCGCTCGGATGTATGAAACAAAGCAAACAACCGAGCGGCTGTTAGCATGTTATCGTAGCTAGCTTGCCGCTTTTCTAACAACACAAGCAAGTTTAAAATGTATTAAGTTTCGAAAAACACATGAGTGTTGGAAAAAAGTGAATAAAAAATGACTTTCAGAAACAAATCTTACCCAAATTTCAGCAAAGTTTGCCGTAATTCCCTGAGCAAAAATGTGTATTGGCTAGCTGGCTAGCTAGTGTTGTTTGAAAACTCCTGCTCGGAAGTTGAGGTTGTATTGTGTTTGTGAGGCAGCGAACACAGCGCCGCCCCGGGAGGTGCTGCCACCTACAGGCCAGGAGGGGTAACGCACCCAGCCACAAATACAAATTAGACTGTAAATGTAGATTTATTGTAATGTTAATGCTAGTAGGGCAAATTTCGTTGTAAACACAGCATTCAAACATGTTGCACTTACCAGTTAGGCTTCTAACGATGATATATGTTTGTAGAATAACTGTATTACCTCTTATTATTACAATATTTTAGAAGTGGCTAAGTATTTGTGTCTATGTGTCACACAGATGAGGTCAACTGGTATTTCTTTTTTTTTTTTTAAGTGTAAAAGAGAAATTCAGTGGTGTTGTGCCTTAAAAACAAGCAGTACAACTGTAAAATCAAATCAACAATAGTGGTAATAGTGTCTATTAATTATTGATCATTTGTCCACAATACAATAAGCTTGTATTTAACTGTTCCAGTGTTTGTAGATAAATGACGAGAACTGGGGAAGTTAAAAGAGAGTACTTCTTAGTGTATAACATTCTTTAATCTTCATCAGATTTTAAACCACAAACCACATGTGAGTCTCTTTGCCCAAATATGGTCGGGGCTCATACACTTGGTGGCGCAAAGAGGAACATTTAACCAAACCACAAAAATAATGAACAAACAACTGCATCCAGTTTAAACCAGAAGTTTACATACACTGTATAAAAACACATAAAACCTTTTCTTTCTCACTGTCTGACATTAAATCAGACTCAACATTTCCTGTTTCAGGTCAGTTAGGATTACCAACATTATATCTATTTACTACTTTCTTCAAAGTCAGAAGTTTACATCCACTAAGATGCCTTCAAACTATTTGGGAAAGCCCAGATGATGATGTCATGGCTTTGGACGCTTTTGATTGGTTAATTGACAACATTTGAGTTAACTGGAGGCACACCTGTGGATGTATTTTAAGGCACACCTCAAACAC